CGTGAAGGCCGCCCCTGTTGAAGGTGAGCATCTTCAGAGAAGCAGATACCGTCGTCTCACGAGCTCGCGCAGAGTCGTAAACACATCAGAGACGCGTGCGTAACGACCGTGCCCAAACATCCAACAAACTGCAGATCACGACGATGCCAGGGAGCTTGACCATCCTCCGCAAGTGGTGCTGCTCAGTGGACAACCAGAACCGATTGACGGCTCGCACACTGTACGACTGGCAGATGTGGTCGAGACATCACGGCCCGAGATCCTAGTTCCCCACGTCCACAACGGGGTCTGTACTTTGGAGCAGAGACGATGACGCCCCCCGTCCTCCAACTTCGTGCATGATTCGCCCCGACACAGTGACCCAGCGCATGCAAGGGCGCTTTCCTTAGACACTGCGTACGGAGGCGAACACCACAGCAGTCTCTTTCTCTCGTTCATATGGAACGAACCCCGAACGCCCGCCGTTCGGCCTGGTTGCATTACGCCTGTCACGATATACTTCCCGTCGGTGATCGTATCACCGTTCAGCCGATGCATGAGTCGACTTTCCTTGTCAAGGCTTCCTCTGCGCGCGAGTTGACAAGGCAAATAAATACATCACCGACGGCGAATCTCAGGAGCGAACCTGTAGGCCTCATAATGGCCAGCGGAACCGTGGACCAGGGATCTATGGGCCAATCTTCGACCAAGGTCTTCGCGGCATCCGCGGTGTACCGAAGCTCCAACGCCGAAACGTTATCGCAAGCCCTCATACACGTCTCGGTCCTCATCCATGAACGCACGAGCCTCAAGTATGTCACCTATCGAAGAGGAGATCAGCCATACGATGTCGAGGGGGACGCACCAGTGGGACGCATACGTCCAAAAGGGTATGCGTGGCACGAGTAACCTAGAACGGGCGACAGATCTTGGGCGCGCATGCGCAACGCAGGCACGAAGATCGTAACGCTGTGCCCGTCTGCGGGGGCCATTCGTCCTATGCAGTGTCGACTAGGGATTCGGCGCTGCGGCGACCCTGCCAGTGCTTATGTCGAGTCCTATCCTCTCGGGATGTCGTTGGCAGAACAAGTGAGCTGGTTTACGAGACGTCGAGACGAGATTCCGTTACCTAACTGTGCCGCCAGGCGCAGGCTTGAGCAGCCATACGACGTCAAGAATCAGGACGCAACCGTTGGAGGCGTTAGGTCAAGCGACGTTTCCGTACACGTCGCCATTCCGGATTTAGCGCCGAATGAAGACTACACAGAATCTCCAGGTCGTCAACGATGCGCACCCGGATATCGTTTCCATTCACGCAGGCGAACAACGTGACGGCCCTGGAGGCCCCGCAAGTCGGGAAGTTGAAGTGTACCACCCCTTCGCTTTGCCTATTCATGCGACGACGAGAACGCGGCACAACGGCGAACGGTTCTACCCTCACCACGTCATGACGAAGCATCCTCTTCTCACAAATAGGATGCTTCGGACACGCAAACCCTGCACACACCAAATCTAGGCCGCTGAGACGTCGCCAAGCGACGTTCGGGCAACAAGAGCGAACCAATCCATAAGGATGCATCTGGAGGAGCTCCTTCCTTACCTTTAGGCGTAATTCGACTCGTCAACGCACCGGAAGGCCAGGAGGATAGCAAGATGAGAGTCACGGGCCAGCACCTCGGGGTCTAGATACCACAGTCGCACCGAAGTCAAGTGCGACTGCCGGGACGTCGTGCTGAGATGTATCAACATCTGGCCTGTACATGTCCCGATCTGCTTGTCAATTCTCAACCAAGGACCCACGACGTAGATTGCTAGAATGAATGCGATACGCAGTGTCCGAGCCAATTATGCACTAGACTATCTGCGCATGCGAAGAACGGGCAAGGTTAACTCGTCACCGCCACTCTTCATGAACCTCGAACAAGCCGACGAACCTAAAAGAGGCCCGCAAGTCGGGAGCCCGCGAAGCCAAGTGCGTCGACGAGGCCGTCTTCCCGCGCACAGAGCAAACTCTGGCATCGGGCACTACAACATCACTGCCAGTTTTCGCAGGACCTCACGGATCAATGCACCGATCCTATCTGTGGAAACTCATCAACGACTCGGGAATGAACTTGTCTGGCGCATGAAGACAGCTGGAGCCTGGACAGGTGCGAGTCATTGAGCTTGTGTACAACCTCGTTGGACTTACCTATCGACGCAGGCCCTACCTTATTATGTCGTGCGTTTCTTGAATACGCCACGCGGTCATCTTCGGACATCCGGCGAACCGAGCGCTATCGACCGTCGTGCGCACCGCGCCTTGTCTCACACCTCAGGGGACTATCCAGTCGCCAGAGCGTGAGGTGAGTGGGTCATGGGCAGCAGCATGGCTGAAACAGACTGACCTCTGCGTAAGGTAGCGCCAGGATCTCACCACGATAGATACGCGGTATACGGGATTGCGAGTCTCGCCTCGAAGGATTGAACTATCGTGGAATGTCCACAACGCAAGATCTCTACATGAAAACGGCCATGTGAGTGGTACTGAAGTTTCTGAGGGCGGCCTGTTACATACTCGCTGCCAGGTGATGCTCCGCGACCTCCGCGGGAACTCACTCAACTCGGGATAGTGTCCTGGCGTCAAGGTCCGTTTTCGCGAGCTCACGCTCATAGCAGCATATGAGTCATCACAGAGCTGGCAGGCAAGGTCGACCGGAGGGATGCGGTACGAGGAGGGGGAGGAGGAGGGGGTATCTTTGCAGCAGGGGAGGGGGTTGATATCGTCGCGACGCAAACAACAAGATGTATCAGGCGCGCGGAGGCAGACAAAAAGCTCCAGTCCACGACGAGGTCCACGGAGAAAGTCAGGAGAAAGTCTTGTGGATGCCCCTGTCCTCGGCCCTCGCTTGCCTCTCTGGTGTCGTGGCGACTCGTTTGGGGGCGTTGATTGCCGCGTGGAGACCAGTGCGGCCGCAGCGTGGCGGCGAGGATCTGAATCTAGGCAATCGACGCGGGGAACGAAGTTCCTATTGGTGCGTTATTTACGGTTACACGGCGCGATTTTAGGCACTTGATGACGACGACAGCACGTTCAGGAACATCACGCTCGAGCAGCGCATCTGAGAGCGTCCATGTTGTCTGCGAAATACGTGTATAATTCTGTGCTTCTTAGTTGAGAACGTGTAAATCGACAACTCTCTACGTACGGCGGACAGTGGCCACTGACGATGAGGACTGCCCAATATGGTGAGCCACACCGGTGCCACCCGCCGCCACGTTCGCACGCGCCTATCAGAGCTCTATCTTCCCCACGATCGAAGCCGAGCTCGGCGCGCCTTCCCTTTACCGTTACGTTGGACGCAGAAGATCTAGACGTGATGAAATCCGGGCTCGCCTCAGCGACTTTCGTCGAGCGCAACGAGGGTCGATTCTCATTATATCGCATGGTGCGAACATGTGCAGTCTTGCGTCACGTCCTCTGTCGTAAAACGCTAACAACAGCAGGTGGAGGAGCTACAGTATCTCCAGTCAAGCGAGTGCAGGCTCCGCGTATCAATCAGAAATACTTGGATAAAACATCCCGCATACGGTCGGCTGGAAGAGCTGTGTCGGGAGTCAGGGCCGCGTAAATCTCTGGACATAAGGACGAACTTACGAGGACGATCGCTGGAAGGGATCGACCTGCAACGGCACGACTTGTGGATATCTTGTCGACTTCGAGCGCCAGACTTAGTATCAGGGCGACATGCGGACATCGTTGACGGAAGGAGTACCGTGCACGATCGCCTTGATCAGAAACTGTATGGTTGTGTAGGGAGTCGGAGGCCACGGGTATTAGGTGAATGCCGGTGGGCGCGATTCAGCTACAGCCTGGTCAGAGGAACGTGAGCATGTGCCACTGCGGGAACGGAAGCACGACGTACCGCTTGCTCTTTGAGTGTCGCTGTCTGAACGCGGCGGTCGAGCAACATTCCGGCGCATCTGGCCAGGCGGAACGGTATCGATTTGGTCTGCAGAGGCAAGTTGAGCGCTCAGCATGCAGAGGGGAACAGAGCCGGCGGATTCTTGTCTATTCATGTTCGTCAGCGTACCCTCAGATGCGCAAGAGCACATCTCTTCGAGACGGACAACGCGTGGGGGAAGTGACAGCTATTCAGTGCGCCGGGCCTGAAGTGTTCCGCGAATTGTTCTCCTTGGTCTTCCTCTACTGGCAGGAGTTGGACCGGTTTTCCGACCAGGACTGGCTGCGAAAGGTGATTGGTGAGTGAGTTCTGGAGTGACGGAGGATGAGAAACTGATAAGCATACCTCGCCGGCGCGTATGAGCGCTGCGACAGGAAGACCGTTCCGGTTGGGTCCCGATGGACCCAGCCCGTTCGATGCTTTCCATCGTCACGATTCACGGAGGTGTTGGACGCGGTACTTCCGCATGCTTTGCACGTCGAGAGCCCCCAGCTTGCAGTCCTTCTGATCAGACACGGTGGTGACGTGGTCGGGGCCCGGTAGAACAAGCGCGAAGACTGTCTGACAGCATGGCGAGTAAGTATCGCCCATCAGAATTAGATGCTCCTGTGACCAAGGGGTACCAGATCGGAAGATCTCGTACACAGGGCCATCGGGGGAGGGGTGGGTGGTCGGGCCTTGGATGGGGTATTCCGAAATTTTATACCAAAAGTGCGAAAAAACCGTCCACCCTCCCCAAGTCGCTCCAAAATGCGACATTGAGCCAACATTGAGCGGCGATGATCACTAATTTGGTCGACTGTGGGGCAATTTTGGGAGCCCGACAGACAGCCACAGACGCGTAGGCGCCCTGCGCCACGCTCTCAGCCACGTCTGTGGCCGCGCACGCCCAGTGGTGCCCTCTTTGTACTAGCTCGCTGCGTAAACCAATGGCTCCTCTGTGGCTACGACAGTCCACGCCTTGGCCACCCAGTGGCCACGGCTAATAGGTAGATGGCGAAGTTGAACAACAGAATATTTGCTACTCATGTACACCACGTCGTATTCTCCCTACTCTACTATCCACTGTTGCCCATGATGCCAGTGGACTCCATAGTCCTAGACTCGCGCGTTCGCGCCGTCCGCAACATTCAGTTCACTGCGCAGGACCTCAAAGTTCTGTTACCTCATACCCAGCACAAGGTCGGCGGTACAGTCCTCAACGCGTTCGGTGCCTACCTTCAAGACTTCCGAGTCGCAGCAACAGAGGAGAGCAACTACTGCATCCTCTCTTCTTGGGTCCCTGCTCTTGTCGGCGGGACAGTGAGTGAGGGTCCGTCTTCCGGATCGTTTGATACCCACATGTCCGCTGCTGTGAGTCCTGTCGAATCCGTGCATTAATCATTCACTGAATCAACCACTGTAGGGAGGTAAGGATGTAATACGAGCCAAACATCGTTGGGCTCTTCCTATGTGTGGCGGATCGCCTGCGCACTGGGTTCTCGGCTACGTAGACTTCAGCATAAGGGAAGCAGGCATCTACGATAGCCTACCGCAGGTCCAATCGAATCTATGGGCAAAGCCGGTGCGTCTCAGAGCCTTCTAAACTGCTACATGCTCTTATAGTCAGTAATAAAGCTCCTGCATGATGTCCTCAACAAGATCATCAAGTATATCAATCGCGACGCCTTCCTCTCTATTGACGAGACATGGACCTTCGCTGTGAAGTCACCCCCAGAATCCAGTCGTCAATCAGATGCATGGTCTTGCGGCATCTTCACCCTTCTGGCATTGCAGCATTTTGCATCAGTGGATGACTCGTATACTACCAAAGATGACATATCAATCGAAGTAACAAAGACTCACATTCTCGGCTGTCTCATGACACTACCGTAAGTTCTACGACGTTGACTTCTCGTGGCGCATACTGACTGATTCAATTCAGCATCCACGAGCAGCCGAGACGTAGCGCATCTACCTCTATCGATGATTGCTCACAAGCCACTGGAGCCCGCCGTGCACGCTACTAGTAGCAGGGCCATCATCCTCTGGGTGTCCGAGTCAAAGCTCAGGCTCACACGGCGAGTCGAGCGACGAGTGGCACACACATTCTGAGTCTTCGGGAAGTCTACTAGAGCCTGTTGTCGATGTTGAGCCCCTGGACCATCTCGGCGACGCGCCTCTGGACTGTCTCGGTGACGCACCTCTGGACCATCTCGGTGATGCACCTCCGGACCGGCGTCTCGGCGATGCACCTCTGGACCATCTCGGTGACGCACCTCTGGGCCTGTACGACAACAACTCTAGCCACATGCCAAAGGGTGACCAAAATCCGAGCACCATGACGTCTCAGGCGCTTCCAGAGGAATCCGAGTCGAATCATCTCGAGGCCCCGACACTGACTGAGCCTCCTGGCATCCATCTTGCTGGCGAGGAGCATGCTGACACCGATGGGGTCTTCTGGCTCACGGAGACGGGTCTTGATAACCGCACAAAGTGGGTACGGATGAAGCGATGCACACTGTGTGGCATGGCCATTAACCTTGGCAGTGGGGTGAGCCTACATGCGTATAATACCCATTTCGACAAAGCTCCATGCCGAGACGCAGTCGCCAAGCAGCGCAAGGAGTCGGGCCTGAAAAAGCAGCGGAAGCTAATGGACATGTTCTGTGGACCCTCAAGGGCGACGTCGACATCCTCTCCGTCACCGCTGGCAACATCGCCTCCGCTTGCTGCACCGAGCACGGACCCTGCTACTATGGCTTCCCGCTCAGAGCCGGGCACTGGGTCTCCAGACTCGGAGCCAGCAGACATGCCTGTACAAGAGAGTCACGCAGAGATCACGGCGATGTTCCGTGCTGCGACCATCTGTCCGGGTATTCTCCTGGAATTCCCCATGCCTTTCGAGCGAACTTATCCCTTCCACCTCCATGCATTCGACAACTTACCATACACTCTGTCGCACTGGGATAGACTCGGAGGGCTGTATGTTCGCAGCAAATCTTGCCATCGTGTACCGCGGCGCGGTCAGCCTTGCTCGGAGTGTGCCAGTCTAAACTCGAACCGTACTCTGGAGCGAATGCGCGCACGCGCCACTGAGCCTGTACCAACGTCGCTCAATTGGCGATATTACAACTTCAACCAATTTACCGAGGCGATGGACCGTAAGAACGATGAGAAGAATACACTCAAGCTGCAGGTGAGTGACTTGTGGTATGTTTCGACGTCCGAGCCTCTCATCATTACTCCAGAATCTGAATCTTGCGAAGCAATACGAGAGGGCAACTACTCGACTGTCCGATCACGAACGTTTCAAGGGGATTCTCGCACAAGGCGATGTTGAAGGTGCTGATCGCCTAGTACGTGTTGCTATGCAGAACCATAGGAGCATCTCCGAGATTGTGGCACGAATGTCGCGGGCTGCCTGTGGTCTCTATCAGGCCAAGAGTTTTCAGGACAAGAACTACGATGTCATGGCACTAGCGGGGGCTTTGGGTGGCCCAAAACTGCAATATGCGATGGCAGAGGCTCTAGGGTTACCAGCCATCTCGACAACCAGCTCCCGCTCACGGCTACCTTCGCTGGAGGCATCCATCGGGTTCCCGCGGCTATCTGAATATGCACACAACCTACTCGTCCTACACAACGCAGGGTTACTCCATGGGACCTCGTCGGGCTCCGGCCAAACCCGACGCCGTGGATGGCAGGCAATGATTGACGAAATTGCTCTTGAAGAACGACCTCGCTATGACAGCCGACGAGACGCAATCCTCGGTATTGCTCGCGAAACATCACACGAAGTTGACATTACAACTGTCACACTCGAAACTCTCCACGGTGCTGCAGACGCTCTGAATGACGGGTCTCTGGCTCTGGCGAAGGAGGCGACCTTTGTAGGTCTCGCGGCATATGGTCGCGACGATTACACTGTACTCCCTGTTATGATATCTGGGACCAACAAGACGGAGCGCGACCATTCTCAAGCGCGTTGGATCCAGCTCGCAATAGATGCATGGGATGCTCCAATACCCGACTTGAACACCACCTACGAGGAGCAGTACGGGGAGCTCTGGGCTCTTGGATCCGACGGAGATGCTACAAGACGAAGGGCTCTGCACTACTACTGATGTCAGAGACCTTGTCACCTAATGACCGGCTGTACGACCGTCTTGGAATGCTCCCGCGGATGAACCTGCAGTGCGGTCAGAAGGCCCGTACAATGACGATCGACTTTAAGCATAAATTCAAGAGTTCGTTGCCTGCTTCGCCTTCTATAATACTTTGTATGAATGCTCATTACCATCACTGCAGATTTCGCAAGCCTGTTGCGTGGCAATAGTGGCCCGCTGGTCGCTGATCACCATGTTACACCTACCGATCTGAAGCGCAAGTTCGCGGCATTACTCGATTACAGTGAGAAGAAGATCACAACACTCTTCAACCACAAGGACCATCAGAACGTCCCAATCGCTGTCCAACTCCTCCTGTCACTCAAGAAGCTCGCTTTGGTCGAAGGCTTCACCAATGCTGTCGAGAATCGCCCACTTGCATTGCTCGGACACTTTGTAGGCTACCTTGTCGAGCCTTTCATCACACCAACTCTTTCACTCTCGGAACAGCTGACGATGCTCTCTGCTGCTGCACATCTGTGCTGTCTACTCTATCGTCGAAATCGGACGTCATTCTGTCCTGGGCAGTGGTACTACGACATGCAGACATTCATCAAGAATATCTTCTGGACCACTGCGAAGATGAAGCTGCTCTGCCCGGATGGCGAACTCTTCATAGGACAGGACGGCACTGATCGCCTCGAGGGGAACTTTGGCACGTACCGTGACATGTACAGCGCCCATAACGTCGACATTCTCGAGCTATCACAGCGAGCTGCGACTGCTGCAAACGTATGTCGCATCCTTGCTAAGCATCCTACATGGGATCGCGGCCACCGGCGCCTCCGGCTCGAGGGTGCGGAGGGCGTAGATCATACAAACCCGAAGTCTTGGATGGGCGATGTACGAGTGGCGTCGGTGAGCCTGTTGACAGTATGGCAAGCTGGTGCCCGCAACGTCACCAAGCTCCTTCGATCCTTGCATATTGAACTTGAGCAGCTGCCTGACGATATTGACCTGCTCCGACCATTTGGGAAGGATGCTGGCTATGTCGGGTTGAACGAGGACTTTGATTGGGACTCTCTGCATGGTGTCGAGCAGGCCGCGTCGCAACCAAGACGAACAACACTGCCCTCTGCTGACGAAGAGAATTGTCAAGTCGAGTTAGTGGACCTCTTACCAGAGGTTGGGGATCGCGACTTGGATGCGTCCCGCAAGGACAGCTCGCACTGGCTTGCAGTCGATGGCCAAGACGTGCACAAAGCGGCAGCAATTCGCTACTTCCTTATGACAGATGACGGCCGAAAATCCACAGACCGGCTTGCTCGTGTGCAAGGCGTGAAGAAAGTGCGCACGTTCTCGCGCAATCCGCCGCCTCCAAAGGATGACGACGACTCTATTATCGGCGACCGATTCCTCATTGGCCAGTTCTGTGCTACATTCATACGGGTTCAAAATACAGCTGCACTCGCCATTATCCGTGTTACTACCATCCGCAAGACATCCGGGGCTTCTGTCGACTCGATCCCACTCGCTGATTTCGCCAGCTCATCAGGCATCACATTTGTCGGCCAAGTATTACAGCTTACCCAAGACTCATCGACCTCAACATGGTCCTGGACAGGCAGCTACGAGTCATTCAATGCTACTGATGGCGGTGAGACGGCCGCGATCACTGCATCGAAGAAGTCTGCCCTTCTAGAGCTACCTGCACATCTCACCGAGTGCGTGAAGCCCACGCTGGAGCAGCAAACATCCGGCAGCGATGTATACGCGTGGAAATTCACATCTATAACCCTGTCAGCCCTATCCGAGTTCATGTGGGACCGTGTCAAGTCATACCAGCACCTCATACCATCTCGAGCGCCGACGCCGACGTTCCCCATGCGATCGTCCGGGAGCCCTGATTTCGCCTTCACCAGTCAAGAGGGCTCGATGGCACTAGCGGCGGGACCTCAGGAAGGGTTTGCGACGTGCTTCCTGTGCGGAGAAACAGTTGCAATCAAGAAGATGCGCGATCATGTCGGTGCTCACCTTCTCGCCAAGTTGTTGTGCCTTCGTGACTCTCGCAAGTTAGTGTCTCCTGTGAGTATCACCCATAGCTTCTCGTGACAATGACTGTACTCACTTGCTCTGGTGTCTAGATTGGAGACATGCCGTGCGGGTACTGCGGCCGATCCGGGACATGCACAACGAAGCTGAAGAAGACAAAACACGCTTTCAAGGCCGAGTCAAACTGTATCTTCTGGAACTCTTTCAATATCGCATCAGCGGAGACACCCACGCAAACGGGCCCCAGTACCAACCGACCTGTGGTATGCAAACCGTGCGAGGAACGTCGTCCGCCACAGAAAGGCCCGAATATCGATGACGACATTGTGTTTTGGTCCTACAACATGCCGAAACACGTCAAGACGCATCACGCGAACATTCAGCTGAGCGAGGAATTCGAGCGTTCATTCGCATTTGGGTCGCGCAACGAGCGCATCTATCTGAAGCTGGAGAAAGGAAAGCCTGACGAGACGGATAAGGGTATGAAAAAGCGACGTGCACAGAACTCAGGCGAGGGCTCCTCTGCGAAGAAGGCGCGACATTCATGAATCGTAGATGTAGGGCCGACACAGCAGCATAATACCTAGCACATTTTTCGGTCATTAATCGGTACTTTTTTCTCAAACTTAGGGGGGTGGGTGGGTCGTCCAAGCCCATGAGCGGCCTCACGGAAGAAAATTCGGGGGGTGGGGTGGGTGGTCGGACAGATTGGGCGAAATTCGGAAAAATAGGGCATTGTGTACGAAATTTTATTTTCTGGTACCCCTTGCCTGTGACCAACATACGCGGGTACCCGACGACTGAGGACCGGTCACCGAGGTTGTGCTGCGAAGTGAAGGGCCGGTCTTTCAACGTGACGACTGGGATGCCCGTCGTACGTTTGTTAACGCTGTACGCATGCGATATGAATTCGTAGTGGCCAGTGGCACAGAGCTACAGCGAAACGAAGCAGCCTGTTCTGAGTCTGAGACTTGACAGCAGTGAGTGTTCTGTTCGAGTCTGGTTCGAGTCGTGGACGTGGAAGTGGAACCGGCCCGAGACGGGCCCGAGGCACCGACCAAACGGTACGACCTTTAATTGTCAAGCCCGACAAGCGCCCTTGCCATATTGGGCGACAGAAGACACGCGAAGTTCAACGCCATCTGATGGCGGGTCGCGTGGTTCTATCGCCAGGAAAGGAAGTGCCCGCGTTGTGGCCACCGTTGTGTGGCGACAGGAACCTACACGAACTGAGTAGAATATGTAAGAGCACGTGTATATCACTCGCTCATCATGCCATTTTATTTCTATTACTTGTGTGTGCGGATGCTATGAAGAGGCCAGTGAGTACGTTGTGTCGCAAAACCACAGCACACGCAAACAAGGCGAGGCTCGATGGCCGAGATTCGATCTTGGCTGCCTATTCGCATCGTCTCCACGTGGCAAGCGCTCCCATCCAATGAGGTCGTGCCGGCCCTAAAGGAGGCAACGGACGATAGGGGTGCAGGCTTTGTGCGTGGATCTTGGTGGTCTTGTCTGGGTTGGCCTCCGCGTCTGAGGACTTTTGTTGTCTGTGTCGTGACGATAAATAAATGCCCCCAAAAGGCCCCTTCCCTATCTCTCCCATGCGAATGTCTCCCCCTGCCCATGCTCTTGCTTGTATATTGCCCCAGCTCCCCCAGTCGTTACCGACCGCCGGTGCTGCGGTTGTATTGAGCGAGGAGTGCGCGACGCCATTCAGGCCGCCTTGAGGTAACGCGGGCCCGGTAGTCCAAGCCCACTTTCAACCTGGCCGGTGTCAGCGAGTCGAACGTCAGTCGGTCTCCCATCGCAGTCGTATGCCACTCACACGTCTGTTGTCTGTTACAGGCCGCGCAGACGAAGGACGACTTCATTATTCCATGCCCCGCGTACGCTGAGCCTATCGCTGCACCTTGCTGACTAGTTGCTCCCAGGCGTCGAGCAACTTCGGTGCGATCGTGCGCCACAGCTAGGGAGCGCCCGCCAGTACCACACCGGCTGCCCGCAGGGACCACTACCCTATGCTCGCCATCCGTCAGAGAGGGTCCATGACACGGAAAGGTCTGCGTCAACCCGCAGTAAGCTATCATTCGCTTCCACACCTGAATGGCGACCCGTACCGGAACCTTGGTTGGCCTGGCGCCTACAACCAGTGCGTGGTGATCATCGACGCGGTGTGGCTAATCAAGCCTGCGTATGGTGCCAGAGTTAGGTCACTGGATGTCGATCCGCAACCCGCGAACTCGTTCTGCGCATGACGCTCCGAGAGGATAGCATTCGGAATAAGCGCTGGTAGGTCCGTCGCAGTGCTGGGTCCGGAGTGCACTCTGGAACAGGCGATCGACCCTTGCAAGCAGACCTGGCGATACGTTCTTGGTTTCCGTATATGCACCCCAAGTCGCGTCGCCTCCTTTCAAGCCACTGCCACCCCATAGTCTTCTGGACGTATGCGTCGTCCACCTCCACGAACGGGAAGCCCGCCCCAGGGTACGACGTTCACGGAGATCGCCGCGGAAACAGCCATATGCACTTCGATCAATCGCGTGTGGCTGTTTCTTGCGCACCCAGCAAACACGCGAAGAGAGCACTACGCATCAGCTGGTGCTCCATCACAATCGCGGAGCAGGGACGGGCCTCGTTCTCAGTACCATGATGCTCGCACGTTTCATGAGCGCACTTGCGGATCTGGTCCACGCGGCGAGGGATGCCCAGGTGGTCGTCGCGCCCGATATGCTGGCACGCTTGCGGCTAGGCCTGTCTCTGCATTGAAGGTGAGGCCCTCGACATCGAGCGGCTGATTCCTCCAATGGGTGGTATACTTGAGGCTCGTTCGTCGATTCGTAAGGTTCATGAGAGATTTGAGGGCTTGCGACAACATTTCGGTGTTGGAGCTTGAGTACGCTCCTGATACCGCAAAGACCTTTGTCGAAGATTACCCGCATAGATTTTTGGCCAACGGTCCCGCTGTTCATTCCGCGGCCTGATGGCCCGTTCAGAGGTTCGCCACCGTCTATGCGTTTCTCTTCCTTGTTCGATCTGGACACCGCAGAAAGGGGTTCGTCAATTGATCGTCCACAGGGCACTCGGTGAACCAGCGCTCCATTCCGAGGTCAGTAGGTTCGTTCCGTAAGTACGTCGTTGGCCAGACGTTTCTTTGCATTGTCGTCTCATGCTGACCCTCGTGCCTAGAGAAGACCGTGTCGAGGAAAGTCGACACATCCGTAGGTTGACGACAGAAGTACCCACGAGGAGGCATGCCGTGACATGCGTACCACGGCCAGGATAACTTTCTGAGCCACGAGCCTTCGGAGGTTCGTTGGATATGAATGAGACTGCTGGGTCACTACGCGGTGTTCGAGAACAGCGATCCTGCATGCGCCGTGGTACATTGGGTGGGCGAGCGTCGTCTGGAATTGGGTAGAGGCGGAGCGATCTTGTCCTTGCACTGAAGTACAGATCCAATTGTGTCCACGGGGAGTCAGAATCAAGGACCGTGACGTCTTGACCACTTTCGTCAGGTAAACGGGACAAGGTATACGGGCGACGATAGAACCCCGCATGTCTACTGAACAGTATGACTTGCGGAGGATGGACGAGCGTCGCGATCTGCAGTTTGTTGAAAATCGGGCGTTCCGTACGTTGACCATTCACGGAGCCTGTGCAGGTTCGTGAGCAGATGGTAAATGCATCCTCTTTGAAGGGGTATGATGCTTACATTCAGGTTCTCGTCACGCGTCGCGAGCCCCTCATCACTGGTACGTGCAGCCGTGAAGGCCGTTCAATGCGAAGATCATAGGCTGTCGAGATACCTGACGTTCACGGTCTCTTTCGCCAGACAGGGCAAAGCATCCGCCAGCACGCATCGACCCGCAGTAGCGATCCACGATGCAGATGTGCGGTGGGTGGAGTTGTACTGTGAATCCTTGGCTGCGTCTTGTTGCCCGCCAACCTGTGTGAAGGTAAGTAAGAGTAAGTCTCTGATCCGACATGGGTGAACTGAGAATCCATCGAACTCACGTCGCAGTCCGTAGAGAGTAGGTTTGAAGAAGTGGCCCTGTAGGTCTAGCGTATTCAGAAGGTGAAAAGGCATTGGGGACGAGTACGTACCGATGTTCGTCCGTCAGACGCGTCCCCCATAGGTGAGCGACGTTAGCGTCGGCCATATATAGATAACGAGATCTTGTCGTCGTGTAACATCGAAGGAACTTGGCGCAGCAGGACGACGGAGGCAAGCATCGGAAGGCAAGTAGGAGGAGCCTTAGCCCTTTCACGACGGGTCAATGTGTCGACGATTCCAGACAGCCTGATCACGGTGCGGATTCGTTGGAGACGTCCCCTGGACATCCGAGTAAGCGCAAGGAAGACCGGATCATAAACGATGGTCCACGACGTGCTCGTAACGGTGTTCAGGCCACAGATCCGTCTCGTAGTTCAGGGCTATCGTCGTCGATGGGCTGGGAAGGACATGCCATTAAGCAAAGGATGACCGTCGATGGTTCGAAAGTGGTGCACGCTATGTCGTTGCACGACGTGTAAGTTGAATAAGTCGCACAATGAGCAGGCATGTCGCTTACTTTATCGATGCGCCGCTCGTCCGGAGCGGCGGAACACAAGGAAACAACGTAGGAGCATTCAGGGTGCGTGAAGGTGGCGGTAGAGAGTGAGCCACTCGAGGTGGGGACAGAAATTTTAGTGCGCCAAGCTCGTTCGGATGTGACTATGGACTGATATTCGGCTTCAGAGACTGTGTATACGACCTAACCGCCTCTTGGGAGGACGAGGCTTGCTGGAAGAGCCATAGGATGGAACGACTGCTCGGCTGCTGCCGAGTGGACCCTCTCAACTGGTGCGAGTCCATCATACTTGCCAGGTCCTCTCTGCAGTCCTGAGCTCATCAGCGGCATGCGTCACCAAACTATCCAACTTGGTTTCCTCTCTCCACAGGTTCTTCCGCCTCTCGGTCAGGTCCGCATGCTGTTCCTTGAGACCTGCAAGCTGCTCCGCGATGTCCCTGGACTTCTGCCTCTCTGTCTCAACCCTGTCGCTGTCGGTTTCGTTCCTCGTCTCAATCTCCTGGAGAGTGTTCCGTGTATCCTGCAGGGTCGTCCGCAAACTCTCCAAGGCCCCAGCCTGCGACGTGCGGTAAGCCCCAATCGACGCGATCTCTCCCCTCAAGAACTCGTCGCGCTCCGCCCTGGTTCTGAAGCGATTTAAGCGTCCGCGCTTGGCGAAGAGCGCGTCGAGCCGCGCACGCGCTTCATCCAGCCTGCGTTTCTCATCCGTCTCGAGTGTGCGCTGTGCTTCCCATTCGGGGAGAACAGTGGAGAGCGATCGTTCTTGTTGGACGATCTCGGCTTTGACGTTGTCGAGCTCTGCCTGGAGCTCTTCGCGCTTGCCTCCGGCGCGCTGAGCCGCGAGGCGGAGGTCACCGATGGTGCATTCCAGCTCAGTGCGCGCGCGCACGAGGTCGGTGAGCTCGGATTGTGCGCCAGTACGGGTCAGCGTAAGTGTCGTCAAGGTCGTCCTGATCTGCGATATACGCTGTTCCAAGCTCTAGCCATGTAGTATGTGAGCCCCATGGTTAAGATATGCGCGAATGTATGCGTACCTGTGCTCTTTTCTCGCGATCGTTGAATTGTTCTCTTCGCACGTTAGCACTGTGCACTTCACCCTTGCGTTCTTCGTCAATTTCTTCTAGCGCCTCCGAGACTTCTTCCAGTTCACGCTGGTACAGCGCATATTCGAGACACCGCCGCTCTTTGTCTTTCTCCTGGTACTCCTTGAGCTCTTCCTTCTCTTCCTCCAGTTCAGTGAGTCGCGAGTCGATGTACTCAAGCAGTTCGTTGATCTTGGTTCGCTTCGCGTCGGTCTCCGCCATAATCCGAAGCGACTCTGCTCGTCGCTGTTCGTATACCTTCGTGCCTGCAACCTCTTTGAGAAGGGCCAAACGCTCATGATCTTTTGCGTTCGTAAGTGCTGTTATCTATTGCCAAACAGGAAACAGGGGTCAAACTCTGTCTCTCACGTAGTAGAGCACGGCGTACTCACCCGTCCTTGAGGCACGATGTAGTACGGATTACTCTTGCTGAAACCGGCACTTTCGAGCAGGTTCATCACGTCTGCTTTACTCGCACTTTTCTTGTCCAGGCTGTACTCGTCCTTCTTCAAACCAATGGTTCGTCGAAGGATCACCTCGTCGCGGCCGGTAGGGAAGCGGTTGTCAGAGTTGTCGAAAACGATCTCGACTGTGACACAACGGGACACGTTGTCAATGAGTGACGTACCAAGTTAGCGTAGAAGATAGAAGAAACCATCAGCACGCACCGTACGCCGACAAGGTCGTAGCCACGGACACGCCCTCGTGTAGAAGAGACTGCCGCTCCTCCCGCGACATCGATGTGTATGCATCGGAGAGCACAAAGCGGATGGCTATAGTGCAAACGATTGTCAGAAGTCACATCGCACACAGAAAAGGCTACGCACCGGCGAAGAAGTTACTCTTTCCTGACCCATTTCTGCCCACGACCACATTGTGTCTAGGAGAAAAGGGCTCGATCTGTGTCTGATCGCGGTCTGAAAGCATTGTGAGCATGGATCATGCGGTCCAAGACGTGCAAAACTGACATGATTTGAAGCCCTGGATTGTCAGTGTCTTGATATACATGGTTGAGGCACTCGCCGGGTGCCAACCACTAGGCCGTGGCTCGAATAGGAGGAAACGACAGTATACGCGGAAAAGCTTCTATAGGGTGCGTTTCTGCGACGACGTCACCGCCGCTGCAACAGTTCAGACGTGTTCTGACAGAGGTGAGCGTGCGCACTGCGCTGTGGCTGAGGGTGAGCGTCGAGCGACCGCAGACGCGAACGCGCGAGGA